GGCTCGCAACACTAGGCCTTAAAAATTCGGGCTCAGTCAGTAAAAGAGTGACTGTCAAACCTCACTGTTTGAAAGAGTGACTGTCAAATCTCGTTATTTGAAAGAGTGACTGTCAAATCTCGCTATTTGAAAGAGTGATTGTCAAACCTCACTATTTGAAAGTGACTGTCAAATCTCGCTATTTGAAAGAGTGACTGTCAAACCTCACTATTTGAAAGTGACTGTCAAATCTCGCTATTTGAAAGAGTGACTGTCAAACTTCACTATTTGAAAGAATGACTGTCAAACCTCACTATTTGAAAGAATGACTTTCAAACCTCACTATTTGATCAGACAACAAAGGACTGTGGGTGTTCTTGTCTAGCTGCCTTCATTTTAGTCGATCAGTTTACAATTAGAGACGTGTAATTATTGTTTATTGTATAAATTCTGTGCGAAGATTCTAAAATAAACATTAAAAAACAAAGATGCGTGCTTCAGTTAAAGCTATAAAAATATTCCTCGCACACATTTATTTGAATCCTCATATGATAATATTAACATCGAAATACTTGGGTCGTTTAGAGCTACTGTAGTTCAAGCTGTGATATTCGTGGTTTGAAGTTGGTTACCTAATCTAAGACAGCATGTATTATATTAGTTTCCAATTGTAAAATCACATATTTAGATATCCATAAAGTATAAATTTATGTTGTTTCAAATGGGATTGATAACAAAATTGATTATTGAGTTCTATTCCTTGAAAAATATTCATAAGCACCAAACTACATAATATTATCGTATAATAGTAATGTTTACTGACCAATTTCTAAAAATAATGCATCATTTGGTAATATACTGATAGCTGATAACGAACTGATTGTTTTACTGTCAATCAAAACAGCAAATGTTTGATAGTATTCAGTTTAACTCATCATCATATGCTTCGTCTTCAAACAGACTTATCTGTGTCGTTATTGTGAAGCTGAGTTATTGTAAGATACTATCATTGTTATTCGAAAAATATTTTATATTTCTGCATTTTTACAATGTCAGTATGTTTAAATAGCAAATGACATAATGACCGATACGAAGTTTTAAAGTCTACTTATCACGTACCAGTGTTGCTTGGCAACGAAACGAGTATTTATATGAAGTTAAAACTTCTTAACACTACCAGTATTTATGCAGTGAATTTGTACATTGTGTGTATAAAAGATATTGGAAAATACTATCCCGTAAACACTGCATTTCTTTGTCGATAAATAACAGTAATATATGTTCTGAGTCTCTGCTATAGTTGTGTTCCCAACTTTTGAAAAAAAAGCATCAAATAATAGTATCCAGCTAACTTTATTGTTACATTTTACAGGTGTTTTTGAAAAATGCCACTAGTGATCTACATTGTCGTGGTATTGTTAACCACGGGGTTGGCAAAGACAGAAAATTCAAGGGTTAATTTGATCGACAATGGATACCAGACGATTGTTGTAGCTTTCCACAAAAACATGCAAGAAGAATTGGATCTACTCGAGAACTTAAAAGTTCGTATTTTTGTTATGTTATTTCTTATTGTTTGTTATTAAGCACAAAGCTACACAAAGGGCTAACTGTTCACTGCCCACCACGGGTATCGAAACATATTTTATGTTACTGGAAAGTAATTATTATGCCATTGATGCAATCCTAGTGATGGAACTTTATAAGGTCGGTCTTAACAATCAGATAATATGTCTGATCTCAAATATAGGGTCATAAAAGTTTGCTCGTTATCTTTTTTGTCTTATCTTCAGGCACATCGAAAAGGATATACATCCAGTAGAAAAAAAACTATAATACTGATTAGTTTAAGCAGGTGACGCAAACCTTCGTTTTCGCACGCCTATACACAGTCTTGGCCACAATGTTTGCATATTTTGTAACAACTAAGATAATTATAATTAAGATGGAATACAAATACACCTAGCACTGCCAAACTGAGAAATGCGTGTTATATTAAACACCTACATGTGTAATTTGTATAATGGTACAGGTTCTGTGGACATCACGAACGATTTATTAGAACAGCAAACAATTTTATCAGGCACCTGTAGAAAGATGTGTAATTCAGCATTTCACCTATCACAACAAAACCTTATCAAAACACACATATAACGACAAAATATAACATCAAGTTATTGTAAATAGCATCTATGACCTTATACGAATTCATATTAAATATTCAGTACTTGGTTGGTCCTTCTTGTATTATCAAAACCTCCACAAGGTGATGTGGAGGTTTTGTCGATGAGGTTATTGATGTAATCCACTGTAATTTGATCCCAACTTGTCACTAGAAGGCGCTGCAGCTCAGGTAAAGTAGCTGGATTGGTGTGGTGGTTAGCAATTTTCTTGCTCGATTCTACTCAACTGTTCTCAATGGAATTAAAATCTGGAGACTTTGCTACTCATGACATTTTTGTAATTTATTCCAGATCGAAATAATCCTGCACAATACACGCACTTTTGGCAGTGTTATTGTGCTCCTGGAACACAAAGTTATTGCTAATCCTTTCACTAACATATGGCTGAAATATAGTATCCATGTTATGCTTGTAGGAGGCGCCATTGACTTTTCCCTGGAGGATGTGAAGATCAATTTTTCCACCATGATGATCAGCTGCCCAAACGTGTACTGCACCACCTTCTGTGTGTTCCCTGTTTTAAAGGCACTCTTCCCTCATCCGTTCTCCAAGCAAACACCAAACACGAATCTTATCATCAGCTTCGACAAGCCGGAAACAGGACTCATCTGTGTCAGGTTTTTATATATATATGAGCCTGATTCTTTACAATAGGTGTCTGTGACTTGTTGGTGATAAATTTCGACAATAAACAAACGGAAAACAGTCCACTTGTTTTAAAATAATATATTAAAACAAGTCAAACATATATACAAAAGTTGTTACACTGTTCGTTGTATTCAAATCTTAAAAAAATTGTTTCTTTGTTGTCAAAGTCTACACATGCTGGTTCAGTTACTTTAGTACCCAATTGACGAGACAATTTATTCTTCATATACTTTGTTATTACAATACAGTCTGTAATAATTTCACTTTAAAATCACTACTATAACTGTTGGTTACCATAGTTGTATCCAGAGCTTTAAATAATTGTCTCTTTTCGTCAAAGTCCACACAAGTTGGTTCAATTACTTTAGAACACAGTTTGACAAGAAAAATTATGTTATTGTTGTTTGTTATTAAGCACAAGGGCTATCTGCGTTCTGCCCACCACTATCTCTTTATAACTAATTTGAACTACATTTTGGACGCATATTTATAGGCCTGACATGATTAGGGCACTCGACTCGCAATCTGAGGGTCGCAGGTTCGAATCCCCATCACACCAAACATGATCGCCCTTTCAGCTGTAGGGGGTTATAATGTGACGGTCAATCCCATTATTCGTTGGTAAAAGAGTAGCCCAAGAGTTGGCGATGGGTGGTGATGACTAGCTTTCTTCCCTCTAGTCTTTCATTGCTAAATTAGGGACGGCTAGCACAGATAGCCCTCGTGTAACTTTGCGCAAAATTCAAACCAAACTACATGTTTATAGCTCGACAGAAGCCTAGAGCGTTCCACACGCTTTGAGATGTTATGATACAATAATACTCAATTAACAGAACAAGAAGAACTTAGAAGGTTCCAGTAACGTTACTCAATAATACAACAATCGCCAATACACAACGTATTATTCGTACATAGTTACATAATCAAAACTGCGATAAATTATCGTTTCTATAAATAATTAAACTTAACTTAAACTACACTTAAACGGAAACAGTCACGTATATCCCTCAATCTAAAAAGATGACATGTCACTAGTGTCCTAACTGTAAGTTGTAATGCTGTCTAGCCCAAATGACATGGTGACGAGGGGAATTTTGGTTAATATCTGTTTGCAGTTAGCTATATATCCTTGTTTTGTGAGTTTCGTATTTGCTGTTGTTTTTTTTTAATGAATACCCTGGAATGAATATGCTTATGTCAGTCCTGTAGTAAGGTGTTGCAAGACTTCTTTCGGCCGTTATAATGTGATGGTTAATCCCACTATTCGTTGGTAAAAAGAGTGGCCATGAGTTGGGTGGTGTTAACTAGCTGCATTTCCTCTAGTCGGTCATTTCGACGGCTAGCGTTGGTCAACATTTTAAAGGTATAGACGTATATAACTGAGCCATAGAGTTCGTTTAGTTGGCTGTTTAATCAACGTCAGTATGAAGTATCGTTCAGGTTGAAAATGTCAAATATATTGTATATTCGAAAGAAAGCTGTCCGTTTACTTACAGTTACATTCCACAAAAGCGGCATTATACTTTATTATATTTTGTTTTATTGAAATGATTCTGGTTAAGTATTAAAATAAAAATACATTACAATTCCCGCTTACTCACGCAAGCACTTAATCCACAGATTTATGTATGTTCGAGCAGTACTTAATACAGCATTATTTTCATGTTACAGCTTCATATTAGCAAACGGTCTCTGACTTAACTAGAGGACGTTTGATAAATCGCTCTCAGTCAAATACATCTCCGATGTCCTTTTTCAGAATGCAGTTTATTTTATGAACGGTGTAGGGAAACATGAAAGAAAGACTTACGAAGATACAGTGACTTTAGTATGGTTAGTGGAAGCGATATTTTGCTGAAAGTTAGCTTCTGGTTATCATTTTAAAGAACTTCACTAAGAACACATTACTTATACTAAAAACGTGTATACTGAACTTCGTACGAATGATAGAGATATCAGTTTCGAAGCTGACCTGAAAGTGAAAGGTCGCAAAACGCTCGGAATGCTACCAGATGTGAATTTGATCACGACAGGATACTGGTGATCCAAAAGTAAGATCTAAAATATGTCAAAGAAGTAAATATAATTTAAAACAGCACTTGTACAATAGATATACATATATAGATTTAAAACGAGTACAACGCTAAAATAACTACACAATAATTCGGTGACGAGGAACCCCACTTTGAGACTAATAATGGCTGGAGACGGCTTGAATGGGTAATGAAGAAAAACTTTAATATAACAGCAAATGT